GGGGGGGGGGGGGGGGGGGGGGGGGGGGGGGAAGTCCAACAGGCCTACTAGAAGTTCAGAACTGAGTTTTCCTGAAGCCTGGGGAGAGTGAAAACGATCTTCCTGCTCCCCCCCTCCCAAGTTCAGTTTGGAAGCAAGCAGTGTGGCACATGGGGGTGGGGAATGTGGGGGGGTGGGGAGTTGTGCATGCATGCGCATGTGAGGATGCGCTTTACATTATGGGTGCCAGTGCACACCCTCGCATTTTTGGCACCCAACAACAAAAAGGTTAGCCATCAGTGATCTATAGTATATAGATGCAAATAATCAAGTCGAACAACATTTTTACAGAACTATACCTATGTTGAGGCTGGGCATGACAAGGAGTGGCTGGGAGGGGAGGGGGGGGGCCTGACAAGTTGCCCTCAACGTGAGTGATGTCAAGTTGACCACACCCACCCAGTCACACAGTCATGTAGCCATGCCCACCAAGACACATCCACAGAACCGGTACTAAAAAAAATTTGAATCCTACCACTGCATATATGAGAACCCGGATTGTTGTTGGGGGCAATATGCTGACTCTGTAAACCACTTAGAGAGGGCTGAAAGCCCTATGAAGCGGTATATAAGTCTAACTGCTATTGCTATTGCTATATAACCCTTCTTTCATATCCTGCTGAAACACTGTCAATTGTAGCTGATCAAAAACATCTCGGTGAATAAGTGATGACAATCGCTGTGTAGATAGAAGTGAGACTATGGGGAGAGACTATTCCTGAGATTATTTCTTGAGTCACTTCAGAAACATTTGCAGCCATCATAAAACATTCTCTTAATGTGAACCTTGGTTTCATTTCGTCTTTTCCATCACGCTTCAAAAGGTGTTCATCCATCATTCCACCCTTACATCTTCCAGTGTCTTTCTTCATTTTAAACAAGGATGTCTGCAGAGAATTCTTTTATAAAAAATCAAGATGGTAGTCGCCTAAGTATGATCAAAGATCAGTTTGTTATGTGTGTTATACACTATTATGGCCACCATTTTGGGTTTTTGACCTTTTCTGTGGAAATCTCTGTGTGCTTTATCAATTATCTCCTTGATCCTATTTGCCTCTCTTGCTTATGCTTTTCATCTTATGTTAATCTATGGTAGGCAAAAATCAGAAGGAATCACATTTTAGTATAAGGCACAAACTTTCCCGAGGGTACAATCTAAGTAATGTAACTCTTCTTCAAAATAAAGCGTTTATCGTGAGTGATATAGTCTATTTCTTAATTTAAAAAGTCACATGCAATTTAGTTTAGGAATTTCCTATGTAGATAGTAAAGTCTTCTGCCATTGCTGTAAAGTGATTGGGAGATGTATCAACCATCTAATAGATATTTTAATCAAACTTTGTTTCTGAATGGGGATGGCACTATCACTTGTGAAGAAATTATGATAATCTGATTTAGTGTTTCATCATCCATTTCTTCATTCTCTCACTCCATTGATATATTCATGTTTCTTCTTCTGGCTATTACTTTATTCAATTGTCTATTCTCCTTAACTTTGTATGCCATTCTTTCATTTTGTTAAAAGACAGATTTTTATTTTTTAGGCTTATCCGTCTTATCCAATCCTCCTGAAAAATCATTCATGTAGTCATTTTCTATCCTTTTAAACATTGTTATGTGTGGCTTTTAATGGAGGTGGTTCCAATACATAGTTGCTAAGGGAAAACTTTGAAAAGCCCAACTCTTAATGCTATGAATTTCTGCTTATCCTAACCCTACCTTTCCAAACTAGGACACATGCATGTTTTTACAACATATGAGAAAATACCTCTAATTAAATGGATCATGTCCTAATTTAAGCATTCCTGCCTTAACTGATTTATCCATATCAGGATATATTAAATTAATTTTGATTGCAATACCTAGATTATCAGACCTTTCCATTTATGAGATTTAAGGAGGTCAGCCCTATGAAAAAAGATATGTGTGTCAGACCTGGAAGCCATCTTTTACCTTTTAGCCTTCAGGCCTGCCACAAATTCTACTGTGGGAAAATGGGAGGGGGGAATTGTATGGAGTGTGGCTGATATGTAATCAAAATAACATTCTTTCCAGAGAGTCAAAGCTACTTTGCCCTGCAGCTACTATGAGGTGACTGGGAGACCTCTCCAGTTGGCATGGTGCTTGATTGGACCATGTGATGGACATGCGAGTGCTGGGCAGGGACTTGAACTTTCTTTTGGGTGAGGAAAACATGGAAACTCTCAGATTTGGGTTTCCCCAGATGTGCCAATATGACATCTCTCATAAAAAGTAACTTTGAGGAAATCCAAGCTTCAGTGTTTTCTTTTGTTAGGGCTAATACTTGGAACCCTGATAATGTGAGTCATTAGGTTATAGCAACATTTGGCAGAATTCCTGTTTCCTTTATTTGATTTTCCATATTGCATCAAGTTCTTATGTTGTGAAAATTAAAGGATCTTTATCCTAAGAATTCAGACAGTATTTATTAAGAGGTTCTTTTTGAAGGAGCGGGATTAATTAAACGCCTGTCTCAAATCAAGATATAACAAATTACTCCTAGGAATTTATTATTTTAACAGCAAAAGTAATGTGGGTGTTAGTTGTCTCCTTATTTGTCTTCCACCAGTCAGTCCCTGAAAGGACAATGGATGCTTCTGGAAGGTTCTCTGGTGCAGCGTGTCATCATTTCCCCAGGCTGTCAGACATGCCTCTTTCAAAATCCAAGAAATGAAACCCTCAACTCCATTGTTTTAGAGAAAAGGTATTTTTATTGGATATGAACTGATAGCAACGAAAGTAAAGCAAGAGACTTAAAAGCAGGAAATTGTACATATCAAAAGTTTACCCAAACCCCTCCCCTCAACAACCCCAAGCTGAATGTCCAATCTCCAACCCCCAAGGGTGTCATGTGGGGTATATCTACAGGTGATTTCATCCATCTGTTATGCAGAGACGGTTCACCTTGATCAGACCTATAGAAGTACATTCAGCATGCACAGAAGATAGTGAGAACAAAACTCCCTCTTCACCCCGAGACATCTTCTCCAGCACGATTCCCCTCCCAAATACCGAAACCCCCTCCCCCCCATTACTATGGTAGCCGATAGCAAGCAAGCAATATAGAGGCTGACATTCGGCCCTCTTGCAGAAAAGGTGTTAGTTCTGGAGGGAAACAAAAAAACACATAGAAACACAGAAACAGTAAGAACATTAGTACAATATATCAAGGTTTATCAGGGTATTTAGAATGCAACAACTGCAAAAGTTTTGGGGCCCTGACATCTTACTTGTTAACTCACTCCGAGTGGAAGGGAGGGAAATGTTTCCAAGTAACTAAATATATTTTCCCCCTATATTTTCGGGAATCAAGGCTCTCTTTGACTTTGAAATGCTGTTCTCCCCCAATAAGGAGGAGGACAGGAGGAGGGGTATGGGCCAGTTAAGACCAGGAGGTATGTTCCGGTTTCAGTAAACTAACATGAAATACAGGGTGTATTCTCCTAAGGGTTTTAGGTAATTCCAACTGCACCGTAACCGGGTTCACAATCCTCACAATGGGGAAGGCCCCACATATTTTGGTCCAAGTTTCTTCAACTTTTAGGTAGTCTGAAGATACTTAGTGGAGAAGAAAACCCAGTCTCCAACCTGGTATTCTTTAGGCTTAACTCTCTTCTTATCAACTTGTTTTTTATGTACTTAGTGAGCTTCATCTAGTGCTTTTTGAATCACGGGCCAGATGACCTGTAGTTGTTTGATCCACTTGGATAGGGCAGGTTTTTGTGGTTTTCCTGGTGAAATTCACACTTAGACAATTTGGCATAAAGTTCAGCAGCCCTGAGTTTCTTCAGGACTGAGCGCACAAGTCTCACATGTTCCTCTAAGGTTTCCGTATAGATGAGGATGTCATTGAGATAAACTAACACCCCTTATACAGATGTTCATGCAGCACCTCATTTATCAACTGCATAAAAATTGCCGGCGCCCCCTGCAGTCCGAATGGGAGCACTCTAAACTGGAAACAAACCAGAGGGCAATTGAAGGCGGTCTTCCACTCATCTCCTGCTTTTATTCGAATTTTGTAGTAAGCTTCCCTTAAGTCCAGTTTGGTGAAGATTTTCCACTTGGCCAGATGAACATGTCCTTCATGAGTGGTAAGGGGTATACATTTTCCATGCAAATGGCATTCAGGTTTTTATAGTTGACACATAAGCGAAGAGAGCCATCTCGCCCCCCCCCAAATAACACCGGGGTGGCTACCCATGGCCTAGCTTGTTGGATGAACCCCCTTTTAAAGTTTTTATCAATGAAGCTTCATAACTCTTCCAGTTCATGTGGGGTCATCAAGTAAATCTGTGGCTCAGGGAGTTTCACCCCAGGGAGGATTTCTATGCTGCTATCCGTATGGCGATGGAGTGGAAGCTCATCGGAAGCCCTTTCGCTGAATGCCTCCCTGAGGTTCCAATATTCCTTAGGAATTTTCTCTTCCCCCTCAATGCTCTCGTGTAGGACTGGTGCTAGTTCATTCATGCCTTTGACTATGCAGGAGGTTTTCCCTTATCCCCCTTCTTGGTTGGTGTAGCAGTCTCTTCCTCCAATTCAGTTGAGGGTTCCATTTCCGTAGCCAGAATAATCCAAGTATGAGGGGCCATTCCATCCCAGATGAAACTTAAAGATTCATGGTGGTCACTCATCCACATCTCCACTGGTTCAGTTACAAAATGGGCTGCCCCCCCACAGCTACTGACCCATCCAGCTGGCAATAGGCAATGGGCACTTTCATTGTTCCCAGTCTTAGCCCCATTTTCTCCACCACCACTGGGCTGATCAGACACCTGATGCAACTAGAGTCTAAAAGGGCCAGCATCTTCCCTTGGGTGCCAGTTGAGGGCACTCTTAATTCTACTGGGATGTCATGGGCCCACATGCAGACTTACTAGGGGGTCGTTGTTGGTGTCGGTTTCACTTTCCCCTGGGGCAGCTGGAATTCCCAACTCCTCCAGGCCTGGAGGAGTGAACACAATGACTTCCATACCTTTCAGGTCTGTTTCACGATGTTTTGCTGGCTGCTTCTCAGCCTTTTTTTCTTCAGCCGAGGTCAGTTTTAGAAAAAAAAACTTTTAGAAAAACTTTTAGAAAAGGCTTAGAAAAACAATTAGCAGCCCGGTGCCCCTCCTTCCTGCATATGAAACATACTGTTGACCTGGGCTTGGTTGCTGACCCCCCCCTTTTATAGCTTTAGGGGCCTCTTTCGAAGCCGAGGAGGGGGATTTGCTCCAGCTGCTTCCCTCACGGTGTCAGTTTCTGGCCAGATCAATTTCCACATCCGCAGCCATCACACACAAGTGCTGAAGGTCTCGGGGGAGGGAGGGTGCTTGGGTAACACAGAGCTGGTAGATGTCATCATTAAGGCCATCTTTGTAGCTGTCCACTAAAGCTTCCTGAGACGAACTCCGCATGTGGCCAGCCAGCTCGCGAAATTCCTGTGTGTATTCTGCCACCGATTTTCTCCCCTGGGTTAAGGATTTCATTCGGGGCCTTGCCTTTCGCTCAGCTAGGGGGGTCTTCAAAGCATGCTCTTAGGGCTGTCATAAAGCCATTGTAATCTCTCAGTTGTGGGGAATCATCGTTATGAAGGGTCACTATCCACTCAGTTGCTGCACCCTCCAACACCTCACTTTTGCAGCTTCTGATGCAAAATCCTCCCCATACTTTTGCATGTAGTTCCAGACTTGAGCTAAGAAAAATCTTAGTTAGAAGAAATATTTGCATCTTGAGATTCAGGGGTGCCTATGCGAATGTGCTGATAACATTTATCCCTGGGCTACAAGGACACATTCCTAATGTCTCCATTCAGCCCCGCACAGGCTGAATTTCATTCTCATGCTTTCTCTTTCTCAGCACTGTGTAATCTTCTCTTCGTTACTCTTCGTGACTCCTTCCTTCCTTCCCCTATGCCCAAGATCTGTATTTGTTTATGCTGAGATGTAGAGGTTTCTCCAGGTTCTTCTTCCACAAAGGCCATTGCATCAGTTTGGAGAGCTTCCATTTCACACAGCAAAGCTAAGCCACAAAAGTGCTAGAGGGGAAACTCGAGTCATGAATGCTTCTGACTACGACTAAATCGGGTGCCGACCAAAAAATCTGCTAAATGTTCACGAATACATCCTCGGGTTGTGATCAATCACAGCTGCAGCAATTTTCTCTGCCAAAGTGATTTCCCCTGCAGCACCATTTTTGTGTGTGCGCGCATGCGCAATCAGTCTTGCTTCCAGTCACGACCATTCCAGTCCTGGAATGGATTACAGTCGTGACCTGAATTTCCACTGTACTTTAAAATGGTTTGGAATGCCGATGTGAAATTACTATTTAGAAAGAAGATTAGCTCCCTTCTGAAATCATCCAACTTTATCCCAATTGCCGGACGTTACTACAACTAAGGTTCCTACCTCCTGTCTTCTTCCTAGTCCGATGAAACAGAACCACCTTTGGACTTCTCTGCAGAACAAAGAAAAATGAAATATCAAGATAAGGTGTACAATCTTATCACTAAAGAATCTGAATCTACAAGTAGGATTCTGAGGATATGATTCATGGCATAATATATATTTATTAAATATATATCAAAACATTATTGTTCGTCACATGGACAGCCAGATGTTTAGACTGGATTTGATATTTTTTGTCCACCTACTCTGTCCTTCCCAAAAAGCTGGGATGGGCAGATATTTTTTGGGGGTATTAAAGTTACCATTGCAGGGTGTAAGCTATTCCAAATAAAGCTGCCTTTTGCAATTGACTGAGAGGGATTTTGTCAATGACGATGGTCGTCAAGTGGTGATCCAGATGTTTTGGGATTCGTTATTGTTGTTATCTTTATGTGAGCAACTAAGGCTTACTTAGAGACAATACTAAAGACCTAACTCTTGGGATGTCATGAAATATGCTTGCTCTACAAAATGTATCACTAGCATTACAAAATTGCCCAGTGTAAAATCAAATGAGTATGTTTCATCAAAGAGTGGCAATAAAATCAATTTTTAGAGATTGCTCTATGAGTGAGATGGGTGATCTCTATATCTGATATATAAATGATTTAAAAAAACATCTTTTCCATCAACCCCCACCCCCTTCCAAAGGCAGAACGAATAGCTGAACTTACGTGTCTCTTCAGCCTTTGAAAAAAGTCTCTTTAAAAAATCACAGTGGTGTTTCACCTTTTCCTGGAATGGCTTAGTATTAAGAAGGAAGAAATTCTGCTTTCTGGGATTATAGAGTGGCCACTTATCCTTGCTGGCCGCTATCCCATTGGGATTCCTATGGAGAAAGAAAAGGACATTGATGGAAACTGATGCAGGGGAGAACCAACCTTGAAATAAGGAGAAATTTCCTGACAGTGAGAACAGTTGATCAGTGGAACAGAAGTTGCCTTCAGAAGCTATGTGTGCTTCATCGCTGGAGGTTTTGAAGAAGAGATTGGACAGCCACTTGTCCAGAATGGAATAGGGATAGTTCTAGTTGCCTGCTTGGCAACTGCTTGAGCAGGAGGTTGGGCTAGAAGACCTCCAAGGTCCCTTCCAACTCTGTTATTCTGATGTAGCTCTTTTCCAAAGAGACTGGCTTTGACTTGAGAAACCACAACCAAGGAGAACTCCCAAAGGGGACTTTGAGGGAGGGATGGAGTTTGGCTTTGTGAAAACTCTTGTGTCTCCTCCTTGCTGATCCGAACCCAATTCAACTCCTCATAGACTCTTGGATCTGGCAGTCCCAATACTGACACCCTGGGCACCCTCCATCTTGTGAGTTTCCCCTTCACTACTTACTCCCTTGCAAGCCTTTGCTCGTTCTCTTAATGGTAGAGTAACACTCTGTTTCTTATCTCTCTTTTGCCTTCTTTATTCCGCTTGGAGAAATAATGTACCCTGGAATACGTGTGATACCACTGAACTTATAAAAGAACAATTATCTATAAGTGACATTATTAAGAATCCTTAGAAATTCAGGGCTGTTTCCAGTACAGGTAGTCCTTGACTTACAACTATTCATTTAATGTCCATTGAAGGTTACAATGGCACTGAAAAAAGTGACTTACAACTGGTCCTTGTACTCACAACTATTCCAGCATCCTCAGGGTCACATGATCAAAATTTGGCTGCTTGACAACTGGCATGTATTCACCATGACTGCAATGTCCCAGGGTCACATGATTACCATTTGCAACCTTTCCAGCTGATTTTCAACAAGCAAAGTTAGTGGAGAAAGCTGGATTCACATAATCATATATTGTACTTAACAATTACAGTGATTTGCTTAATAACTGTGGTAAGAAAGATTTTAAAATTGGCCGTGATTCACTTAAAAACTGTCTTGCTTAGCAACAGAAATCCTAGTCCCAACTGTGGTTGTAAATCATGAACTGCTTGTAATAATACAACCTGTAAACATATGGAAAGGAAAAGCATGCATTACTTTATGGCTTCATTACTTTAGATATAAAGTGCATTTGTTGAATGGAAAGGCTTTTTTTGGATTTAAAAGAGAGATTTTTGAAATAAAGTGAACTACTTACCCAGTTCTGGCAAACTCTGCCCAGTAATGCATCATCCTACGGCTCAGTCTGGCTTCAGCCTCTGTGCATGTTTGATTGGCAGACAGCACTGATTCAAGAGTTCCGAAAACGTAAGGAATCTCAGCACTGTGTGATGCCCCAATCCATTCAGGCCAAACTGACCATGAAGGGCGATGTGTGAATAAATAGGCATATACAGGATTCCCCGTTTTCCTGATATTTCCTGCAGCTTCCCTCAATGGGCATGCAATGATCCGATCTGTATAGAAGTGGGACAGAGCGGAGCGGAACTGTGCTGGTCCGTGTTGTCCTTCACTGTATCTCAGTGCAATACTCTGGACAACATCTTTAGTTGCATTTGGCACCAACAGTTGTATCCCTTTCAGAAGCTGCTGCTGATTGATGAGATTGTTGGTGATGTTAGGGAAAATGAAGTGGACAAATGGGGCCATTTCATCAAAGGTCTCACCTATGAGGAGAGGTTTGACCTGAAAGTGCCCCTCCTCCATCAGCTTTTCTGGATTACCAAGCAAAAAATCCCTATCTGTGGTTGGCCTGAAGGGAATATTCAGGATGCCACCTTTTAAGAACAGAGCTATTTCATGTTGAGTAAATTCAGAAACATTTTTTGTTTGCAGACAATGCATTATGCTGATATTATTGTCCTCAGAGCAACCTAGCAGATGAACAAATTCCAGTGATTTTTGTTTCGATTCTTCAGGAGACCTCCACGCATAGAAGCCATTGGCTGCTCCGCTCTGGATCACCGCTTGGGCAAAAAGGTTCTGGCTTTTTGGCGCGAGAAGATGGAAATTCACAGAAACTGCTCCAGCACTCTGGCCAAAAATGGTCACCCGAGAAGGATCTCCCCCAAAGGCAGCTGCATTCTCTTTTATCCACTTCAGGGCCAGCTGTTGGTCCCATAAGCCTAGGTTCCCCGGAGCAGCTGGTGGTAAGTAAAGAAAGCCTAGGGCTCCCAATCGATAATTGATGGTGACCACAATGACATTCTCAGTGGCAGCCAAAGATGCCCCATTGAACAAGGGCAGAG